GCCCCGACCTGCGTACTTTTCGCCGCGGCCTTAAGACCCTCCTGTTCCAGCAAGCCGGACTGGCCTAATTTGAATTTTCTTATGGGTGTATGTGTGTGTTAAATCTGCGGGCCAATTTTATATATTGATTTTAATTTGGTTTTAAATTTTATAAATCTATGTGTTTTAATATGGCTGTACACCGCCCTGAGTCCTTCGGGAGAAGGGCGGGATAGAAATCTAATAAACTTGAAACTTGAAACTTGACAGGCTTCAGATAATCACACAAGATTTCTAAAAAGTTGTGTCTATTTAAAATTTAAGGGAAGAAGCCTTTATTCACACTAACATGCTTTGTAAAGGACTGATTTCAAACTTTTTGTACCATTCTCCTACTTTTCTCTCTCTCTTGTGTGCATGTGAGAATCACTGTCTTTGCCAAACTGACTCATAGATGACTGTATAAATTGTTTATATTTGTTTGTTTGATTGAATACTGCATTTGAGGTGATGTATACTTTCTGTGATAGTCTTCAACTTACAACCATTTGTTTAATGATGGTTCAGAGATATAAAGGTGTTGATAAATGTAATTTATGACCTGTCTGCAAAGTTACAATGGTCTTACCATCTCTCTAGTCACACAATTGCAATTTGGGGGCTTGTCAACTGGCTCACATTTACAATGGTTCAGCATCCTATAGGCACATTGCATGTGACTTACCACATGACCCTTTTTTTGGCCGGAAGGAGTAATGAGTCACAAGGCAGCTGACGCCAGCAAGTATTACCTTGGCTGTTGAGTACAGGGAGAAAGATAAGTATCGGGACAAGATGTTTGCTTCAAAATGTGTTGAGTACCAAATTCAATGAATTTTTAAGCAGTCAAGTACCATGGCACCACTGTAACTATAACCTACTACAAAACTTAAGGTTTAAATATATATATCTGAATGTTAACATTTTAAATTATTTTCTATTTTATTAGATTTATTTTGGACCTATTTGTGCATGAGTTCAAGCCAATGTATGTAGTGTTCCCTCCTAATTTTCTCTACAACGAACAACCTGTGAGATTAACTGGATTGAAAGAGAGTGGCTGACTCAAAGATGCCCAGGAAACTTCTCTCTGCTCCTGGCATAATGCCTTAACTACTACCCAGCATTAGCTCCCCTCCTTCCACTCTTTTTGAAACAGAAATAAAAAATTTATTGGATTTTGCTAAGCATTAGTATTTACCGTTTGTTAAATCAAACTTCGAAGAAGGCTTGCTTACAGTTTCTTCATTACTACTTCCTGATGTATCGCTGCTAGTTTTATCCTATCATCTTTTCTTTTTTGTAATCACTGTCATCTGACTCTTCTTCAGATTCCTAACTGGGTGTATTTGTATCTTCTGACATCAACAGCACATCCTGTAGCACCAGCTCCCCTAGTAAGAATCGTGGCATAGTAAAACTTCCAGTATGCAAAACTGAAATGTCTTAGTCTAATACCAAATTATTTGAACCAAAACATGAAAAGTTTGCACTATTTGTAATAATTGAAAATGAAGGCTGCTTTTTTAAAAACGAGAATGAGACAATTTCCACAGTCTTAAAGAAATAGGCATTATCTCTGAAATTTTCAGTGATCTCTTTTTTGTAAAAGCAGAACATGTGGTGGTAGGGTACAGCCTTATTATGTACCTTGTCATGCTGTGCTCTTTGCTCCAGGGAGTGGAAAAAGAGTATTTCCCAATGTGCAGAGTTAAAAAACTTCATCTTGTGAAACAGTCAAAGCAATCAGCAAGTGATGGAGTATCTGTTAAAAAGAAACCTGACATTTAATTAACTTTTCAAAGTGCTGGTTCAGCAACCTCTATGTTCTACATTTTGAATATTGAACAAGGACTCCTAATCGGATCTGAATTAGTTCTGGGCTTGCTGGGGTGGTGAAGAACAAGTGAGTTGTCTGCTATCTTCTTCTGCCCCATCTTCACAATATTATTAAATAATAATAATATGTATTTAATATTCATTTAATAACATTTAAATATTATTAAAAACTGATAGTAATGCAACTAGATTTTGCCTGATCTTCAGGGCATCTAAAATGAGTACTTCCAGGATTATAAGAGATAGCTGGGTTTAATAATAATCGTTTATAGTTAAAAGTAGCAGGGCAAAGGTAGGGTTGTATCATAATATTCCTCTGAGAGTTAAAAAAGCTTTATTCTTACATTGCTTTAATTTTGAAAAAATATTCAGAGGCTGCTCTTCATGTAATAGTGTTAAAAAATATCTCCCCAGGACCTATTTTTGTCTCATGGTTCAATGTATTCAATTCAACCTTGAGAGCAATTTCAGATGTTGCAAAAGAGTACTAATAGTGATATTGTGAATAATTTGTGTGTCTTCACTTGATTCTTGTATAAAATGAACTATGAGAATTTTTGCATCTCTTCCATAAAGCTATATATGAATGTAGATCATATGAATGCAGATCCTTGTAGTGAATGTGGGAAAATTCCATTCCAAGAGATTTCACACTAAAAGAGTTAAAGAAAAGTTATTGACATATCAATACAGATGAGTTGAGAAGAAAAACAAACATTGAGGATGTTTTGTGTCAGTTTGTGTTTGATATTTATTTATATTTAATTATTTATTCAAATATATCTTTTAATCTTTTCATTATTGATAACTAACAACTTAAGAGACAAAACATCAGTAAGATGATAAAAATAAGTTATAGAATCAAATACCAATATATATTAACATATTTATTTGCTTATTATTTATTAAATTTCTGTGCTGCCCATCTCATTGATACAGTGCCTCTCTAAAAAAAGAGTAAAACAAAACTGCAGCTGCTGATAAGTACAAATATTCTCTTGAAGACTGGATTTTGTTTGCTTTTTAATGTTTAGTGACATAGAATAAAATAGACAGTGATGATACAATCAGGGTATTTTTTTAAAAAGTTCACCCTATTTAAATAGCTTGCAGTTACTGTATTGGGTCAGGGCTTTCTTAATATCTTCTTTTCGGACTGGAGTCAAGGAATAAAGTTGGGTTTCACCTCAGTGGTGGGATTCAAATTTTTTTTACTACTGGTTCTGTGGTATGGTGGGCATGGCAGAGGAAGGATACTGGAAAATCTCCATTCCCTCCATTCCCTCCGTTCCCTTCAGGGCAAGGTTACTGCAAATCCCCATTTCCTCCCGATCAGCTGGGACTCGGGAGGCAGAGGGGGTGGGGCCAGTCAGAGGTGGTATTTACCGGTTCTCCGAACTACTCAAAATTTCCGCTACCGGTTCTCCAGAACTGGTCAGAACCTGCTGAAACCCACCTCTGTTTCACCTGCTCATGGTTACTTAACCCCAAATAGAAATGGCTAAGAACAAAGCCATAGTCCATAGTGAATCAAATGAAATGTAGTGAATTTGGACAGCCAGCTCAGATCAGATCAAAGCTAGTTGCAGTAAAGTTTGTGTTTTAATTTAATTTGTGGACTCTTCTCCAGGCTGTGTGTTTGGATATATGCTTTTCTATAAGTTCCTGGGCTGGAAGGAACAACTGACAGGGATCAGGTTCTCCATAAAGCAATTATTCATTCTTCTTTCCTTTCCTCTTATTTTTTCCCTCAGATCTATCTAGGTTTTTTATATTGTTAAATGCAATAAAGATTTAAAATTCTTAATGACCAAGTGATATGAAGGAAGGGAATTTCCCAATTATTCCTCTTCTGATAATTCAGTGACAAAGAGGTCACTGATCTGGGATAAAGTAATTGTTAGCAGCACACTTAATCCCCAGGCATTAAAAAGAGAGTACAGGCAGTTGCAGGAGGAAAGTTAGGAGAACCCTTGTGGGAATCATTGGAGATCAAGCCACTATATACCACATTGATCACATCCTACTTGCAAGTTTCCCTTCAGCCAAACAATCTAGGATCTCAGAATTAAAAGCAGGTTTATTAAATTGTTGCCTTCCTCAGCACTAGGGTGATATGAAATATATGATACATGTTTTATCATTTTACTTGTTTCTTCATTACATTTATATCCTGTCTTTTCTTTGTGAGCTTAAGACTGTTCAGTTTCCCCCCACAATGGCAGCTCTGTGACGTAGAGTGATTGTTGTGGCCTGCCAGCTGCCAGCAGAGCTGGCGGCAGACTCGGACGATGAGGAGGTTGGGAGGAACTTGGGCCAGTTCTGGAGTCTGGGGAAGGCTCTGATGGATGCTCTGTGTCAGACGCAGAGATAGAGCCAGGGCCATAGGACATTTCCCAGCCACTGGAGAGGCAGCTGCCTTTGGAGGCTGATATGAGTGAGGAGGAAGAACAGCTGGGGCCTGTTCCAGATGGACGTATGCGCAGAGCAGTTAGGAGAAGTGAACAACGGAGGACCAGGAGTCGACTCAGGAAGCAAAGCACATGTGGACACTGAATGGCCCCTCCCTGGCTGGGGAATAAATAAAAGGAAATGGGAGTGGTTGTCGTATGAAACAACAGTTCGTATTTCTGAAGATTTTGCTCATTGTGTTTTGTGCCACAAAGTCTGCTTGCCAGAACTTAATTTGCAGCCTTTCGGCTGGGAGCTCACAGCCTTGCAATTATTGTAAGGAACTGATAAGTCTGTTGCTGCCATTAACTCCTTGAAGGACTATTGCCTGAACTTTTCATTGGGTGAATGCAATTAATTCACAAGAGGTAAATAAAGAGGGTTTTTTTGTGACGAGTCTGTTTCTTGCTTCTGCTAAGGCTGCTAAGGCTGCTAAGGCTGGGTCAGAACAGTGACCAGCTCAATGCTAAAAAAGAAGTTGAAAGAAACAAGAACTGATCTGGCTTCTTTCCTGTACCCTCAATGAATCAAAGATGATCTTTTTATTTGAAAGATGAATAATTTGGAGAAAATGTAGATTTTTTTTCAGATAAATGCATTGAATCAAAATGTACTCCTGAAATAACACTTTGAAAAGTTATTGTGAGCATTGTTTTTTCCATTGTTCAGTGTAGGCCTTTGTTGTCTTTTAGGTCAAAAAAGAAACCTGCAGAACAAGAAGTTGAAGAGTAAGTGACTCCCTCATTGTCTACTATGTTTCCACATAAATGTTAAGAAAAACTGTTTCATTTTCATCCTTTGATCAAAGATAGCTTGAGTTCATATAGTATATGACCCTGGGAAAAGGCACAAGTTGGCAATATGTGCAAAGATCTGTACCTATACATGCTCCAAATCATTTCTTGGAAACTAGATTGCTGTAGAATCTTATGAACTATTTTCTTAAATGCCAAAGGGGAATAGATTAGACTGAAGTCTTATTATCTTCCAAAGAACTTCAACTTAAAATCTGAAGTATTATAAATAATTTAAAATAACAACTGGACATTTGGAAGCCACCCTTTTAAAAAGATGCTTTCATTGCTGATGTTTGTGGATTGGATTTTTACAATGGTTTGTCTGTCTATCTGTTTGTTCATTAAATTTATATGGTTGCCCATGACTCCGGATGAAAGAAAAGTAGCACTGCCAATATTAAATCTCCAACAGATGGCACTACAGATGCAGTAGAAGTTCTGAAGTGTACTTTAGCATCTGTTCTTTCACTTCGATTGGTGAAAATTTGCTGTAAGAAAAAGTTGTGATGCTATTGTTTGTGAAATATTGTGAAATTTCTGTAGTGAGTACTTGTCAGCACATTTTAAGTAGCACACCATCACTGAACGTATGCCTCTTCAAGACTGCTAAATGCAGTTGTTTATGGCAATGTGACTTTGTGAAGCAAATACTGTGTGCATCACAGTGCCAAAAAAATGTGATGGTGAACCAGAAAAAGCTGATTTCTGTGTGTGATTAAGAATGAAGTGCTTGACCTGTGGCAACAACTGTCAAGTTTCACATGAGAAAGTTTGATGAACTGATCTTGGGAAGGCATAGCAAATTGAAAATCTGATCAAATAGAAAATCTGCAAAAGTGTATTTAGTCAGGGCACAGTGACCATAGCAAACACCAAAGAACCAATGAGTAGCCTGTTTTTTAAAACCTCTCCAGATAACAAGAGGATAGGAGATCACCCACATATGCTCTGGGTGTCTGTTCCTTGTGGAGACTCATAGATATTCTGTGAGTTTGAGCAATGGGAGACAAAATGATTAGCCATCTTGCTTGCTACTGCAACAGTGTAGGGCAGTGGTAGGCAAACTTGGCTCTTTCACACTCTGTGGACTTCAATTCCCAGAATTCCTAAGACAGCCAAGCTGTTTTAGGAATTCTGGGAGTTGAAGTCCACAGGTGTGAAAGAGCCAAGTTTGCCTACCACTGGTGTAGGGGAAGGAGTTTGCAGAACCTGGGTGAAGAGTTAAAACAGGAATCAGCCTAGAATGAAAAGTGGAACTACAAATGATAAGCCAAGAGAATGATTTAGAAAAGGACAATTTTTTATTATCCTTTGTTATTGGATTATTGGATATATTAAAGAAAATGGCTGAGGTTTTAAATATTATAGGGGAAATACAAATGGCAAATCAAGAGAATGACTTAGAAAATGTTTTCTTATCAAATCTACAAAAGGAGCTTGTTAAACTCTTGAATTGAAGTCTGGAGCTAATTTCAAGGATATTTTTTCTTGTTCCATTTATTAAAATATCCCTATTTAAGCTAAAATTATGGAGTTGGAGCCATTAATTTTGATTCAGTCTTCAGATATGGTCTTTACTGGAGTCAATGTAATTGTGAAGCACCAAGATTGATTATATGCAAAAAGATATGGAAAGATGCACTCTCTTTTCTAATAATTTGTAGATTTATAGTTCTTTTTAGAGCCAAAAAATGCTATATGGGTTTCTTCAGAGGAAAACTTAAGATGTTGTTTTATACACTTGCCTCTAATGGTGACTTCACTTTGTAATATTTTTCAGTCATCGTCTAAGACAACAGAGCATAGAGGCAGATAATGGAGAAGGTACAAATTTCCCTTTTAATTGAAATTAAGGTATTCTCATGTTTCTGATGCCTTTTTTTGGCTGGAAGGCAGCAAAGAAATTCAGGATATCTTTCTAATGTAATTTGTATGTTATGCATTTTGTTCTATTTGTTTTTGTTTTTGATATCAAAAGTCATTAGAATATTAATGTATATTATTATTTTACAACTTTTTAAATATTTTAATACCCAATTTTTCTTCAATGTATGTTTTTAAGGCAAGCACTTTAATAAATTCTTGTACTCTGCTTCCCCAAATATAAAGTATAAAATACAGTTTAATGAAAAATTAGAGCAGCTAATTGAATTTGGGTATCTTGGTAATCTGCACACTAAAGATGGGAAAATATATGAAAACACTTTAAGATATTCAAATGGTGATAAAAATGTGGGTATTATGGTGAAGAATGAATTTGTTGAAAGAACAAAAATGGCTGATCTTTCTTCTTTTAAACATTTATATAGCCCCATCTTATATTGAACTCTGGGCAGCTACCAATCAACATTTAAAAAATAAATGAATAATAAACCAACATGATACATACATTTATTAAATGCTTAATATTTAATTAAACATTTAAAAAACTGTCACCAAAGTTAACATATAGTCCTTTAGAATCTCTCATCCACCTCACTCTATCTCAGTGCTTTGGAGAAAATCCACATCTTTAGTGCTTTTCAGAAAGCTAGAGGGGTAGAGGCCTACAAACTTCATGAGAAAAGATTTTTTATAGGGCAGGGGCTACCATGGAAAAGGCATGTTTCCTACTTTCCATAAAATGGCAATGTTTAAGGGAAGGGTCTAGGAGCATGCTCATCCTATCTGATCATGTTAGGACAGGTAGATGTCCTTAGGGGGAGGTGGTCCTTCAGAGAACCTGGCCCCATGCCTACTTTTCTTTTACATGGAAGTAAGACTTTGGTATGTTAAGAGAAACATAAAGGTAAATGTAATGGGAATTGTGTGTTGTAAAATCAAACATAAGGTCAAAAAATTAATGGGAGCTTGATTAGTGGGAATATAAAATGAGTAATTCATATGAAATAACTATATTGATGTAGTTTGATGATAAAAGACAGAATAGATGAATAGCAAACAAATATGAAGTGAAATGAATGGGTGAAATGGAAGGAAGATCAAAAAATTGTAGTTAAATGGACATAGAGGTGAGCTGTAAAGAAGAAAAGACAATATATGAAGTGATATATAGACTTGATAAAATCAAATGAGTTAGAAAGATGAATGATGTTGGTATAAATTATATTTAGCTATATTCTCTGTTCTTATGCTTTCCTTTAAAAAAAATTGCTTACTCTTTCTTATCCCCTTTATTGCATTACACTATTTATCCCAAATTTGTATGTACTGCATGTATATTTGTTACTGCATCTTTTCAATGTATCTGTATCTTTTTGAAAATATTTAAACAAAGAACAATGGCACTAGCTAACCTCATTGTTGTGTATCTATCTTATATCTGACATCTCATTTCTTTCTAGACATTGCTATTGCACTTTTTCATTCAGCTCTAATATAGTTATGAAAATTAGAAACTTCACTTTTAAAAAAAATCCAACAAATTTCCTGAATTCAAATTCTGTTTTAGACATGGGATTCATTCGTAAAGTTTGCATAGATGAAATGGTAGAGTTTAATCAATGCATGTCTTTGTGGTACATGTATATGAATATACTTAACCAATGCACATTGAATGATTAGTGGAATGACTTAAGATTTCTGTCTTGTTTTTATCTTGTTTTTAGACTTAGAGACAGACTAGTTTGCACCACAGGAAGCTATTTTAATAGGATTTAGTAGATGACAACCCTAGGAATAATAAACTCTTGCAAGCAACCAAAATTGTTTAATTCCTAAAAGACAGACCTGGTTGAACCACTTTTGGCCAGGGGCAATTGAGGACTTAATATTGTGTATGTAGCAATCTGGGTGATCTAAGAGAAAAGCGTTTAAGGGTAATTGCTCAATTTTCTATCCATGTCAACAGGGAAAATGGGCAGAAGTGACTGAGCTCAGTTCAATAATAGAGCTGGATGAGATGGGAGATGCCAGGCTAAAATGGGAATTGAAAAAATGCTATCTGTTAAAAAATTTTCACAGAGCAAGGTACTTATTCCAAGCTCAAACTGCTTTATCGGTCTAAAAAAAAATATTAAGTCTTTTAAAATAATCAATTTGCAAGAAGTTGGTATCCTATTCTTTGGAAATTTTTTATTTCTTCACTTTTCTTGATTTACTAAGAACAAATGAGTATAGTTATAGTTGTGCAATATCATCATTACTAACTTAATTAAGATCTTCATTCTGAGTGCAATTATATCCTGCTATTCATTAGGACTTTATTTTATTTGTTAAGTTCTTCATTAAGAACATAAGCAGTGCCCTGCTGAATCAGACCCTTGGCTCTTTTAGTTCAGCAGTCTCTTCTCACAGTGGCCTAACTGACTGCACAAGGAAGTCTACCGATTTCCAAGCAGAAGGACTTCAGAGGCAATCACACTTCCATTAAAGCTAAGCATCTCATGGAAGCAAATTCCAAAGCTTAGCTACAGGTTGTATATATAGAAAAACCTTTTGTCTGTCCTGATTCTTCCAGTATTCAGTTTTATTATTTGAACTCTGGTTCTAGTATTTTGGGAAAAGAAAAACAGCTTATCCTTTTCCACTTGATTTACACTGTGCACAATTTTGTACACTTCAATCATATCCTCCTCATTCACCTCCTTTCTAAATTAAAGACTAGCTAGACTTCTAGACTAGCTCTGTTTATGGGAAATACAGCTCGGAAATTAACTATACAATAAAAAAACAGAAATTATGCTCTTTTGCATTTGATTGTCCTGACCAGGTCAACCTAATTGCATAATTTCAGTGTTACTTGTTGCTACAAATGGAACCTAATTGCTGAACAGGTAGTCCTTACAACAGTTCATTTAGTGACCATTCAAAGTAACAATGGCACTGAAAAAAGTGACATATGATGATTTTTCACACTTATTGTCAGGGTTCCAAGTAACACCCCCAACGAAAGAAGACTCCGAGGCTTGAGTTTCCTCAAAGTTTCATTTTATTAGAGATGTCATATTGGCACATGTGGGAAAACCTGAATCTGAAAACTTCCAGGGTTTCCCCACCCAAAGGAAAGTTCAAGTCTCTGCCCAGCAGCCACATGTCCATCACACGGCCCATCCCAACTGGAGATGCCTCCCAGTTCCAACCCTCCAGGTGCAGGGCAAGATATCCTTGGCTCCCTGCGAAGGAATGTTATGGCTATATATCACCCTTGCTCCATACAATCCCCCTCCTAGTTTCCCACAGTAATAAATGTGGCAGGCCTGAAACTCCAAGGCAAAAGATGACTTTCAGGCCTGACACTTATGACCATTGCAGCATCCTCATGGTCACATGATTTACATTTGGATGCTTGACAGCTGACTTACATTTTTGATGATAGCAGTGTCCCGGTTTCATGTGATCCCCTTTTGCGACCTTCCGACAAACAAAGTCAATGAGGAAATCAAATTCACTTAACCGTGTTACTAATTTAAGAACTGCAATGATTCACTTAGCAAATGTGGTGAGAAAAGTCGTAAAATGGGGCAAAACTCACTTAACAAATTTCTCACTGAGCAACATAAATTTTGGGCTCAATTGTGGTTGTAAATTGAGAACTACCTGTACCTGAGGACATGGATAAGTTAAAGGCAAAAGCTCTACTCAATCTATCTGACAACTGAGTTGAGAGAAAGTATTTTTTGTCTTTGTATATAGTCTGGTATATATGTGTTTTATTTATATATATGATTTAAAGAGGATTTTAAATCAGATGCTGCATTGTAGAGTGATTCATTTTTCTTCAGTCTCTATGCCAACTATGTTTCTTACTGAAATTCCTGTTTATTACTCTTTTGAGAAAATTGGATGTGGCCTTCTCACTGATGAGTACTTTACTAATTATTTTGAGATTCACAGTACTTCAATTGATTCTGCCTTAAACAATTAACATGAAATATTATTTTTTTAGCTTTAAACATGAGCATTCAGTGCAGATCAAAATGCTTGCATTATAACTGAGATGTCTTGGCAAATACTAACCACTAAAACTATGGAATATTTATAATTCTAATGGTCAGAGGTGAGGAAAATATGATGCAGTTGCTTAAGAAGGACATTGTAGATTGGATAAAATGAAGATTGGAAGGAGAAAGTGTGAGAAGTTTTATATCAAAATACACTTTGTTCTTTATAGTGTTTCCATCTTTCCTTAAAACATTAACAGAATCCACAATGGACTAAGAATCAGTGTCTTCACTAGATAATATGCTGAAACCAAGTTAATCAACTAAAAATAGCAAATGGCAGAAAATCTTTTACTCAAACTTCCTTAAATCCCCCCAAGTTACCCAGACTTAATCCACATATCAAAGATTAAGGTCTGCAAACACAAATAGAGTTAATTAAATTAGGTCTCCCAGCAGAACTGCATGTTCACAAGAATAAACATCATAGACATACCTAAACATGTCCCTCAAGTGTCACCCTAGAATCAGCACCTAGACACTTCCACATCCAGGACAAACCTCCCTATATAACTCTGTCATTGTACCCCATTTCTCTGCAGCTGCCCTTAAAGGCAAACACTTTGCTTTTAGGAATAAATATTTCTTCTTTCCTTACAGCTGTCTTGATCTCATTTTTGTTTATGTTTGCACAATCACAGCTTGAGTTGAAACCCAAAATTATTCTTCTAACAGAAGGAACAAATTAAAAATGATTATTTTAAGTTTTAATTTAAATTAGTATTTTATGCAGGTCTGATAATATGATAGATTTGCACTTCAGTCAAGCAGTTGCTAGAGAATAAAATTATTATAAATGAGCAAAGAAAATATTTATAAAAATTACCAATTTCTATGGCAAGCTTGATTGGCAGTCAGTAAGTATGACAGCAAGGAGGCATC